TGGTTATCAAGTGAAGCACAGAAGAAACTTAACTAGGCTTGTATTAAGAAATACAAGAATACAATTTCAAACCAATGAACAAAAAATAAAAAAAACACATGGTGTTACCGCAAACCGAAGCGATAATGAAAAAAATCCTAATAATCTTCACAACATTTTGCTGAAATGGGGCCAGGAATCGCCTCAGTTTGCACCACAGAACATCTATAGAATCAAAAAATCAGTGGGCCCCGAACCCAACGCCGTAAGACACTGCTTCACGTTCGCATTAGTCCTTGGAGCAAATGCCTCAGCGCATCGCCCGTTGCAAAAGTTTACAATCTAAGTCAATACAATTCCTTTTTTTTAATACAATGCAAGAAATTATGAAGATAAAAATACATGGTTTGCAACTTTGAAGTACACAGTAGCTTAAAATTTGCAAAAACAAGATTATATTTTTAAAAAATCCTTACAAGATTATCAACTTTTGCACAAATAATTCAGGGGGAAAGGGGCCAGGAATCGCCTCAGATTGCATCACAGAGCATCTAAAATCCAAAATTTCCCGGGGCCCTTAAGCGGGCCCCGGACCCCACGCCGTAAGGGCTTCGCGCTCCGCGCTCGCAGAAGTCCTAAGAACAAATGCTCTAGATGTGCCCCCCGTCTAAAGAAATCCTGGATCCGTGCCAGACAATGATCTCCTGATTCGGTCCAGTAGTTTTTGCTGCAGATCCAATACTGTGAAGCACACATCTTTCATGGGGGTATTATTATACAAATATTGAGTGGCTCAGCATGGAATGGGAGGAATATTATCACAAGGTAATATCTGGACTTTTCTGTTTCAGGAGGCAAAGCTGCATGAAATGGAAAAGTCAAGATTTTACCGAGCGATGATATTCCTCCCACTTCACAATTCCTCCAAATTTCAAGTTCCTAAGTAAAGTATTTCTCAAGTTATCGTGCTGACAAGAGTTAACCTAACCAAAACATAACACACACACAGATATACACGTTTGTGTATGGTGTAAATGAAGACTTTTCTTTTGTTCCTCTTCCCAAATGTGTGACTAAAAAGGCTTTGAAGAAAAACTTCGGGCCCCAGAAAAATATTGGACCGCACTCTAGGCATTCTACAAATCTGGCAACAGTTGTAATTATTTAACCCCAAGTCATGAAGACTGCCAACTCGGCGACTTCCAAGTCCAAGAATTTTACTTTTTAGACGGATACGTTGAAATCCTTTAGACCAACACAGAGACCAAAACCAAACTATGAAAAATGAAGACCTACATGTACATTAACTGATTGCAGTTAGACTTTAATTAACCCTAATGTCCCAAGGGCTCTTTGGGGGGGGGGTCAAGGACCAAAAATACCACAGAATACTACATGGGTTGTGCACACTTGTATGGAAGGAAATGCATACTACAGGTTACTACTCAGTAGTATTTTGTAGCTTTAGGTGAGGTAAGGGTTCATGGATGTACGATCATTGCTCAAGCCCATAAAGTATCAAATTATTAATGGATGTATGATCGTCGTTCATAAAGTATCACAATGAATACAATTAGACTGCAGTTGCACTAACAACTGTGTCGAACTACAATGTATGACTAATACAAAATGCATTACCACGTGAAATTAATGGCTACTTATTGAGGTCATCACATTAGTTTTTATCCAGCTGAAGCTTCCAAGCTGAAGCTTCCATGTTTTTTTCCAAACTAACTTGAAGTTTTGAACTTTTTTAACCTTGTAAGAATGACATGTTCATTAGTAACCATTTGTGGAAAAATGAAGTTAATCGCATTTACCATTTGCCTTTTGTGAACCTTTTTACTGCGGTACCCGATTTACGTTTTTGTCTATGAGGCATCAGAATTTTGCATAAGGCCTACATGAAAATTTAATGATGGTTATTTGAATCACATGATGATGGGGACGTCCCGTTTGATTTCTAAACCAGGAACCAGAAGTTTCATTGTTGGGAGCTCTTAAAGTTGATTTTCTCACAAAACTTGCTTTGAAAACGATAGCATGTTGGAAAAAACTTTCACTATTAAAAAGTAATAAGTCTCCTAAACAAGGGAAACAATTGGAAGTGCAGCGAGGCCTGCAATCACGTAGGAATGCTTCACTTTTATATTGTGAAAGTTGATTGACTTCAGTTGAAAGAAATACTTCACTTTCGTAATGTGAAAGTTGATTGACTTCAGTTGGTAGTAACCAGTTCGTCATAGCCCGTAGCTCTGTCAACTCATTAAACTCCTCTGTGCATTAACTAAAGAGGGCGCTATTTACAGAAAGTAACACCCCCCTAATTTTACCACAAAAATATGATGGTTCCTCTATTTCAATGGTTCCCATTTCACACTTATCCTGTAACATTTAAGAATGACTGAGCACCAGGGAAGGCGGGGTTTGTGCAGAATATGCTAATTTTCCCTCACCTACGTGTACCCATCTTGAGGAGGTGGTTGTGCAAGCCCCTCCCCCCCCATGAGCCACCTATTATTCAATACACCAAATACTACTGGATATTTTATCGAACATCAGCTCTACTTTCCTCCACCTCCTTCCTTTTAGGTCAGAAAATTGGGTGGGATGAATTGTTAAGTGTTTTATCAATATTGGGATATTTTAGCTTTAAAGATTTGGGGTAGCAAGGATGTTGAGCCCTAACAGAAAACAATTTGATGTGCTACTCTGTCTTTACATTACAAATATCCCCCTTACAGGGCGGGGCAGAGGGGGAAAGAAAGGGGACATGATATTCACCATTGTATATTCATTTTTCATTCATAAATACCTGAGACAATTTACCCATTCCTATTGGTCTTTAACACGTTTCCAGTGTCACATGAAATTTGGACTCCTATGGAAATCCGATGCCTTTTAGTTTTATTGGTTGGACGTTCACAATCCTCATGTAGGAATGCACAATACACTACCAGTGTGTCAGTATTTCACAGTCTTAAATTCACAATGCACCGGCACAGCTGCGTTTTGTGCCGCACTCATGCCATTTCCATATAAGGAGTTGTTTATGATGATTCGTGAAAGAGACATAATATGGCTAGAGGGGTGTCCCAAAAAACATGAAGTAAACTTATTGAATCGTTTCGGGTTTTTGCGGTAACACCATGTGGTAATAACTACTGCTTAGAAGATATTAGTTCTGAGAAGAACTTGTCCTGCTTATTATCAACTTGCTAAGTAGTTTTTGTTCTGTTTAGAACAGTCCCCTGACGATGACTAGAGCAGGCTAGTCGAAACGTTGAGACCAAAGACAAGTTCTTTTAGAACTTACAGCAGGACTGTTCTAAACAGAACAAAAACTACTTAGCAAGTTGATAATAAGCAGGACAAGTTCTTCTCAGAACTAATATCTTCTAAGCAGTAGTTATTACCACATGGTGTTACCGCAAAAACCCGAAACGATACCGATACCCCACCATGCAAAGCCTCAAATCTTATATAAACTTATTGAACAAAATCGTTGGAAATATATAATTTTTCTCTTGTTTTGACTTTTGGAACGAAAAGTTATGATTTTTTGACCGAATAGGTATTTATGAATGGGAATAAATATGTGTTTGGCCGGTATTAAACACTATGTTTATGACCGGTTGGAGTCTATATGCTGATAATGACCCGAGCCGAATATCAATATCCAGACTCCAACTGGTCTGGAGTGTTTAAAACCGGCCAACAAAAATCATTTAACTAATGAAAATGTCACAGAAAGGCTTTCTTGGAGATCTTTCTTAAATTATGTTACCAGCATTATTTTTCTTGGAGATCTAATTATATTATGCATTCATGGCATTACAAATGCAATTAATTCAGGGGGAACCCATAGAAAACAAGGATTGTAGAAAACAAGAACAAGTCCCAAAGTGGAATGAAAAAGGAAACAGCATGGAAGATACAGTAAGTTTAATACAATTACAATCTTTGTACAAATGTAATACATTTCCTTTTCAATTTACATGGAAACAACTGTCAGTAATATCTGTCTATGCCGGTAGTTCTATGTACAGTGTCATTTACAGACATGTGACAATCAAAAGAGTGTTTAGACTTAATTTATTTTACATTGGAAATCTGTTGATTTGTGGAAATCAAAAATGCAGTGGTAGAAGGCGTTGGGGTATTTCTTTAAAACAAAGTAAGCCATGCCTCTCCCAACATAAAACTGACGTCAGCGAATACCGGTGGATTTAGTGCTGAAACTAATCCTCCAGGTTCGGTTAGGTTCATATCAGATTTTTTTCCTCAAACATCGGTTCGGATCGGAAGTACATGTACAATGTACATACATACATCTGTACGTTTGCCAGATCAAGCTGTAAATCGGCTTTCGGTAAGTCGCCATTTCGCTCAAGTCGGCGTGTTACTCTTGGTCCCCTACAAAAAGCGCAACAAAATCCTTTGTGTAAATTTAGAAAATCACGCATTGGCATCGACTTCCTGCACTACGGTTGCGGTAACAAAATACATGAACATTGCTACCACAGCGCGCGCAATAAAAAAGCAGTTTCTCCAATACATGCAATACCACATCGTGAGCAATACCAGTAACCCCTCTAGCCTGCACGAAGGCACTCTGTCTATTTTGGGGGTCTTTTTATTTATTGAACGATGCAGTGATTTTACTTACCACGCACGACTTGCATTATGTGTACACATGGTCTACACTATAGCAATGCTACGTTGTACGGATTATGCATACCAAAGACGGACAATCGTGGCGTTTAGCCCACCAAACAATGAAGATGAACATAGTGACTTGTTAACACTGTGAATTCAATCATTCGTGCATTTCAATTTTGCCCTTTCATTGCAAGCGTTAGCATTTCTAGCACTATCAAAAAAGTAAATTTCCCAAACTTCTAAACCGACAATTTCAGTTCGGTCCAGTTTGGTTCGGAATGCCATGTTTGGCTATTTTAGTTCGGTTTGGGGTTCGGCTGCAGCACTATGAGGATAACATTATTTCTTTTCTTTTCTCTCTAGGAGGGGAGTTTGGCCTTTGGATCCTGCAATCTGATTCTATCTGCAGGATCTGCTCTCGGTAATGTCTGCAGAGGAATATTGTTCGTTGGTACTTGCTGCCTCTTTCTGCAGCAGAAGGCTTGCTTAAAGGCCTTCCTGTACCTTCCACTTCCAGCATTGAATATGACTGAATTAATGGAAGAGTTCAAGACTCTGAGGCAAGCAATCAACACATCCAACTTCCATTTCACATCATCATTTACATTCACTTCTTCCCTGCTTCGCACTAAAATTGCAATGAGGGCATATATAGCTTGGGGCAGAGAACAGACAAATACCACGGCTGTGTTGATGCCTAGTATTAGAGTAACTTTTCGTAGATGTTTTGACGGACCTCGGATCTGATCATCGGTTGGATTTGGTGCATGCAGTCCCTTAATAAGGAGGATATTGAAAGTGACTGTGAGGATCAAACTCAACATGAATACACAGAAAAACATGTAACTTACAACCAGATTCAAAGTTTCGTCATCATTAAAAAACATATGCCCATTACCTGATAGATGTTTATACTTTTCTTCAGTTGGCCAAACAAGACATTTCATTGGTGGTACATTAAAGCCCAGAAACTGATTAAAGAAAACGATCAAATTCACGGAAAAAGACAGAAACCATATGCAAACTGCTGCCCGTATAGCCCGTCGCTTCAGATTGAGATTACGGTGTTGGAAAGGGTAACAAATGGCAAAATATCTACCATAAGACAGCATTGTTACAAAGGCTATAGATGAAATCACACCAACATCGCATGTGTACGTTAAGAGAATAAAAACTGCTTGGGCTGAGTTCCCCAAATATGATGCATCCAATTCAGATTGTGTTGTCAAAGCCACACATTGCTGATAAGTGGACTCTGAAATCAAGACCATCAAATCTGCAACAGCCAAATTAGTCAGATAGAAATTAGTGATATTCCGCATGGAGGCAACTCTGCAAAGGGTAAAGAAAAAAGACAGAATGGATAGGATCCCTAATAGTTTAAGGACAGGCAGGACAAAACCATACAACACAGTCTGAGTACTGGAAAACACAAACTGGTCAGCCTCTGCCGGATTCTTAAAAGCAAGGATTAGCAATGAGTGGTTCAACAGTTTGTATCTTTCATTGCTTGGTGCATCAAAGGATTCATTCATCGCTGCCCAGGGAGATGGTCCCGTTTCATCCCAGATCAGTAGATGGTCCATCTGGGGTGCTGAATAGGCCAGGGAGCAGTTGTCGCTGTGGTTCTGGAAGACACAGGTGAAGAAGGTACAGACCAGAATGTCCAGCTGAGCAAGGGACGTTGCAGCTTGGGCATAGACGGTGACATTTGCGTAGTACCACCACATGATTGACACAGAATCTTCCTGCTTGTGTGCAGCCTCTTGCAGTGTTTAGTATGTGATAGTTCAGTGTCTTGTACAGATAACGTGGGGTGGAGAAACACAGCAGAAGTTTGCTCCGTGAATGAAGAGCAGAACAAAGAAGTGGTTCGCTGGATTTGCTCGCTGGATGGATAGCTGAACAACAGATTGGTTTGCAGATGACGACGAAATCCAGCAAGACAAGTTTGACTGCAGGATACCTGCAGGTTTGTTCAGCAGCAAGGGGTTTGCCTCTCAAAAAGTACACCGAAAACTAAACTTTGTACAAGTACATGAAGTAACATCTAAAATAGAAGTTGTTGTTCCACAGTACAGTTTCAGAAAGTTTCCCACCAAAGACTTTTGTAGCCACTGTTCTGTGTATTTCACTGCTTCCAATTTAACAGGAAAAAGAATTGGAGCCTGTACAAGAAGTATTTGTCCTCATTAAGTCAATTTATTGACAGCTAATGTGATGCAAAGTTGTCACCCAATCATGTTATGGAGTCGGCAACAGCAAGGGCTGTCCATAATACATGCGGCCAATTTTGCATCGAGATCTGGTGGCTCTGGTGAACTGGACAGCCTAAGATGAGAACTGATGTCAAGTTTGATCGCTGTTTACTTGAAACGGAGAGATTGCATAAGCGTTACAGGCTCAAGGTGCAGTGAACACCATGCATTGTTGAGTTCGGACTTTGAAACAGTGATGTACTGTGATGAGGCTGGTGAGAAGATGCAAAATGATCTTGACGATCAAATTTTCCATTTAAATACTTTCATTGGCGCATCACATCGAAACTGACATACTTGCGGTCACTTTCCCTGTACAAAGTTAACTTGAACATTGAGTGCTTAACTTAAAATGACCACATGCCAAATCAAAACTGACAAAGCAACTTTCACCCTGATTATGTTGTATATAAAAATTTCAAACATGTGGCTTTTCTTGGTTTTGTATTTGTTTGCTCTTAGAATTGATTTTTAGTTTTTATCAAGAAAGTTGCCTCAAAACCAATACCTTGTTATTTACATATAAATTCGCATGTTAGCAAACATGTGGCTTTTCTTGGTTTTGTATTTGTGTGCTCTAAGAATTGATTTTGGTTTTTTATCAAAAAGTTGTCTCAAAACTGATACCTCGTTATTTACATATAAATTCACATGTTAGCATTCAGATAAATATTTAAAGTACAGCTACCGGTAGGCCTTTCACTTTGCACTTCTGTATTGTGCAAGTTCATGAAATAAGTTGGTCAACAATTTAACCAAATTGGGATCACTGATCAATAAAGTCTGTTTTCATTAAATATTGTAGAACTACTCTGTACGTGGCCCCTTTGCGGAGGTAGCCTTATGCAACAATTTTTGATTGACAGCTCAGGTCACCAGCCTCCATTCACTGATTATAGTGGGACACGCCCACCACAGACCACAAACTGACTCTTGAGGATTGCCAGTCCACAGTCTACTCATAGCTCTATGGTCTACTATACAGGGTGGCCCCCAATGGCATACTTCCACTACCTTGAGACTCAAACCCCCTGTACCAATGGATGGAGAAACTTCTTAGAAGAAATATGATACAATGATCTCCTGATTTGGTCCAGTAGTTTTTGCTGCAGATCCCATATTGTGAAGCACACATCTTTCATGAGGGCGTTATTATACAAATATTGAGTGGAATGGGAGGAATATTATCACAAGGTAATATCTGGACTTTTCTGTGTCACCAGGCCAAGCTGACTGAAATGGAAAAGTCCAGATTTTACTGAGCGATGATATTCCTCCCATTTCACAATTTTCCCAAATTTCAAGTTCCTAAGTAAAGTATTTCTCAAGTTATCATGCCGACAAGAGTTAACCTAACCAAAATATAACACACACACAGACATACATGTTTGGTGTAAATGGAGACTTTTCTTTGTTCCTCTTCCCAAAAGTGTGACTAAAAAGGTTTTGAAGAAAAACTTCGGGTCCTAGAAAAATATTGGACCGCTCTCTAGTCATTCAACAAATCTCGCAACAGTTGTAATTATTTAACCCCAGGTCATGAAGACTGCCAACTCGACTGCCAAGACCAAGACCTGTACTTCCAAGGCAAAGAATTTTACTTCAAAGACCAATACATTGAAATCCTTAAGACCAACACAGAGACCAAAACCAAACAATGAAAATGAAGACTTGCACTATTAACTAACTCCCTAGGCATTTTGGCTAGGATGTAGCCTCAATCCTGCAAAATCTTCCAACTGGCCTCATTGAAAAATAGCATAAAGCCTCAATCCTGCAAATTCCTCCATTATTTCTTAAATATAGTCTGCAGAGGGGTGACCACTGCCTGAATCCTGCAAAATCCTGCGGCAGTGACCGTCAATATTTTGAGGCTTGGCCAATGACATCTTGGAGCAGAACAGAGGATTTCAAGCACAATCCAGGCCTATATTTATGCATGGCTGAGCAAAAACAACACAAGGTCCAGCCCAAGACCTTGACAAAGTGCATTTTACAAAATCAGTAACGCACTTTTGCCATGTAAACTCAATCCTCCAAATTCCTCCACTTTGGCAAAGAAAATTTTGAAAAATTCTAGGCGGTTAGGGTTAATTGATTGCAGTTAGACTTTAATTAATGGATGTATGACCGTTGCTTAAACCCATAAAGTATCACATTTTTAAACACTCCTATGCAAACATACATTCTGTGCCAAGTTGTTCTTTCAGTCAAGTGACTGTTTTCAACAGTCAAGAGCTCCCAGCGTACATAAAGCAGGATTGACTGGCTATGACTGTTCATGTAACTTGGTACAGCTATGCTTTGATTGTAGCTGATTGATAAGCCAGCTGTGCTTACCACTTGTCTGCTGACTGAATTTGACTACTTACAGTGCTTGCTTGAAATATGATCTGACTGTTAGTGCCTAGCCTGTGTAAAAGGCATGTGTATTTTTGTTGACTGCCTGTGACTTTTAGACAGCAGGAAGGTTAATGGATGTATGATCATCGCGCATAAAGTATCACAATGAATACAATTAGACTGCAGTTGCACTAGCAACTGTGTCGAACTACTAACAATGTATGACTAATACAAAATGCATCACCATGTTCATCAAATTAGTGTTTATCCAGCTGAAGATTCCAAATTCTCCTACAAGGCGAGTAAAAAAACCTGCAATAATGCCAAGGAGCCATACTTTCCTCAAAACAAAGTTGAAGTTTTGAACTTTTTATTTAAACCATGTAAGAATGACATATATTCATCAGAAACCTTGTGTGAAAAAATGAAGTTAATCACATTTACTATTTGTGAACCTTTTTAATACGGTACCCGATTTACGTTTTTGTCTATGAGGCAACAGAATTTTGCATTAAGGCCTACGTGAAAATAAGAATTTTTGAATCATCAAGACCTTGAATGATGGTTATTTGAATCACATGATGATGGGGACGTCCCGTTTGATTTCTAAACCAGGAACCAGAAGCTTCGTTGTAGGGAGCTCTTAAAGTTGATTTTTTCACAAAACTTGCTTTGAAAACCGATAGCATGTTGGGGAAAAAAACTTTCACTATTAAAAATATTAAGTCGATCTCCTAAACAAGGGGCACTTGTAAGTGCAGCTGGGCCTGCCAAAGGAATGCTTCACTTTCGTATTGTGACAGTTGATTGGCTTCAGTTGAAAGGAGTACTTCACTTTCGTAATGTGAAAGTTGATTGACTTCAGTTGGTAGTAACCAGTTCGTCATAACCCGTAGCCCTGTCAACTCATTAAACTCCTCTGTGCATTGACAATAGAGGGCGCTATTTACAGAAAGTAACCCCCCCCCCAGCTACACCACACAAATATGATGGTTCCTCTATTTCAATGGTTCCCATTTCACACTTATCCTGTAACATTTAAGAATGACTGAGCACCAGGGAAGGCGGGGTTTGTGCAGAATATGCAAGTTTTCCTTCACCTACGTGTATCCATCTTGAGGAGGTAGTTGTGCAAGCCCCGCCCCCATGAGCCATATATCATTCAATACACCAAACACTACTTGATATTTTATGGAACGTCAGCTCTAATATCCTCCACCTCCTTCCTTTTCGGTCAGAAAATTGAGTGGAATAAATTGTTTTATCAATGTTGGGATATTTCAGCTTTAAAGATTTCAGGTAGCAAGGGTGTGTTACAGGGAATATACAATAATTTGCTTTTGCTGTAAGTTTCAGAAATGGATTCAGAAAAAGTACTATTTTTTAAGAAAAAAATTGTAACTAATAACAATGTAACAGAAAGGCTTTCTTGGAGATCTTTCTTTAATTCTGTTATCAGCGTTACAAATGCACTTAATTCAGGGGGAACCCATAGAAAGCAAGTATTGTGATAACAAAGGAAACACACAAAATAACAGCATGGATGATACAGTGTGTTTAATACCATTACAATCTCTGTACAAATGTAATACATTTCTTTTCATTTTTACATGGAAACAAGTGTGAGTTCTATGGTTTTATGTACAGTTTAATTTACAGATACATTGTACATGTAATGATCAAGAGTGTTGAGACTTATTTTTTGTTTACATTTGAAAATTGTTGCTTTGTGGAAATCAAAAATGTAGTGGTAAAAGGAGTTAAAATATTTCTTTAAAACAAAGTATGCCTAGCCTCCCCCAACACAAAACTGACGTGCTGCGAATGCCAGTATTTCTAATTTGTGTTTCTAAACAATAAATTACTATGCAGCTTTTGGAAGTTATAGAAACTTTTGGAAGAGAGGATTGCATTATTGGCTGTATCGGCAAACATGACGAAACAGCCTTTGTTTTCGTTAAGAATTGTTTTCTCTTCTATTTCTTTCTTTTTTTTAGTCATTTGTTTGTTTCCGGCACTTTGGGCACTAAAATCAATCTGCCTTTATACTTGGCACACACTTAGAGACCAACACCTGCAGATATGTGTCGAACATTGATGTCATCATGAGGTCATCGCGTGTCACGTGACATCATATTACAGGTGAATATTTTGAAGGCCTATGTGTACATTACAGGTCCAATTGGGTTGAAAGTTGGTTTGTACCTAGACCGGGGTGTGCTATAGATGAAAAAATAAAGTGACTTCATGGTGACGTCATCATGGGTCAAGTGACATCACGTTTAAGAAAATCAAGATAAAATTAACCGTGAGAGATCTGAACATGACTTTTTTTGGAATTGATAGAATAATCCTTGGTCTTCATTTTTGATAGTACGTGCAAAATCATGTAACCCTTCCTTCCAGTTAAAACTGGATGTGCTTTGTAATTTAAAATTGGTAAAAGATGTAAACTGGTTTTCAACGATGTATGCTCTGGCTAAGTATTTCTTTACAAAAAAATTAACGGTGATGTCATAAAATGTTAGAGATCCTTCTAGCGGAAGGTTGTTATAGATGATAATAGATGAAAATTGATGTGATGTCATCATGACGTCATCACGTGACGTGTGACGTCATAATTCAAAGCCCTATGAGAATATAATCACATATTTACATGCCACCATATATTATTAACAGAACTACACATTTTTCCTCATCATCAGTCTCCAAATCC